GTTGGCTCGACAGGAGGGCGTGTGTCTTTCTCCCTCTGTGGCCAACGCAGTCCGCGGCCTTCTTCCTTTTTGTAACGAAGGCGGCCTGAGAGGGTGAAAGGGACGCGCTGCGGCCGCCAGTCGTAAATACCTTGCAAGGACAGGGGACGGATGCCGTCAGCTCATGGTTCGTATTGTTCCCAAAAGGCCATGCCCGTCTGTCCAACGGCCGCTGTGGCCAGAGTTTTGCAATTGCGGCCGCCATCTTAGTTGTACGAACCCTCACCTCCCTCACCTAGTTAGGCCATTTCGTTTTCGCGCTTGTCCTTTCATTGCGTTAATTAGTTAGGGCAGCGACTAGTTAGTAGTAAAGTTTGTCGACTGCCGAGCTCAGCCCGTCGAGCACGGCGCGCCAGGCCAGCGGCGCATCGTCGGAACTTCGCTGGTGCGCACTGGCTGACGGAGATTTCCGTGGCACGCCCCCAGCCGCTGGGCGTTGACGCTACGAGTGAAAAACAACGCCTGAGGGTGCAAACACAAGAAATGAGGCGGGAAAAGGAAAACGCCATTTGTCCACTTTGGCGCTTCTTGTTGGGGAAGGAACGCAACAACAGCCTCCTCGGTAGTGGTCGTTTATTATAGTTGGCCCTGGTCGATACCCCGGGACTCTCCAGCTACAAGGTGACGACGACGACGACGACAACGCCGCCTGACCACTAACTATATGAACAAGGTTTTCTGGGCTCGATGATCGTGTCTGGTACGTACCTCTATCGAAACGTCGGTCGTAACTGTTGGACGCCACCGTTGAACACAGCCCACCAAACCGGCCCAGCTCTACCGCAAGTGACAACCTCTATCCGCCGCCAGAAACTCAATACAGCCATTCAAAAGGCTAAAACAAAGCACAAAAAGGTTTGACATCGAACCAAAGAGTAAGGGGAGCAAAGTCAATTCCCCACCATCCCATTCGAAGCGACGAACCGATTGTTTGGAGCACGATTCCAGCTGTAGTTACTTGTCCCAGCACCAATCAGCCTCGAGCTGATGATTGATCTGGGGGTGTATTGCGAGGAAGAGGGGGGGGGTTCCAGTTGAATTGGAGGCGTTGTTGATTGTTCAATCAGCAGCGCCCGTCATTTTTTCGTTTTACCTTTCACCAGGCATGATGCTTGTTCGATTGGCCTTGGACAGGCATCCTCACAGCAAGATGGATAGATAATGTTGTGCGTGCTGCAAAAAAGCCGCATCTGCTACCTGCATTGTGCACATCATCACCTTCTTGCAAGCCACAACGCACACACACACACACACACAGTCGACTAATACAGCCCAAGCTTCTACATAGTACAAAGTATGTCAAGGGGTCTTGGCAATAACTCGCGGCAATTACGGACGGGGGGGGGAGGAGGAGGTGGCAAGCCGGCTTTTCAGGACGAACCAAGCCGGCAGCGTGTTCGTCCTGTTGCGCGCGCGCGCAACAGGCAGGCTCATCAGTTGAAACCTGCATGTGCCCAGCGCGCACATCATGCAACGGGGGATGTGCCCACATTGCGTTGCTGTTGGGGAATTATCAGTGATCCTTTTGCCTCGTTGCTATTTCGGTTCAACATGCGCAGCAAGGGCTGGTGAAACACTAGAAGGGCAACAAGGGGGCCGGGGTCGCGGCGCGTGACGTACAAATCAGAAGAATCCCATCTCAGGGTTCAATGGTTCGAGGACTGAAAATCTGCACGACAAAAAAAGGCTCTCCAAATTACTCCAAGACATGCAGCCTGCGTGGTTCCCTTGTTGGGGTCGGTATCCCGCTGGGCGGTTCGGCCTAGTTAGTTGCCTCTGCCCTTCTAGAAGGATGTGGTGCCCTCTTTGTTGTCTGTTCCTTTCTTTGTCGACCCCAAAATGGGTCGGTCTTGCTTCTAGGCCTGCCAATAACAAGAGTTTCGGGTTGCTTCGTCTCTTGAGCGGGCGGCTAAACAAACTTATGCCCACGCTATGCTTTTCCCCCCTCTCCAGAAAATCAATAGGAAGAGAACTAGAACAGTGTGCGTCACATTGAACGAGGAGATGCCTTGTCTCGACTCGTTCACTTCACATAATCGTCATCGTTTTGGTGGTTTTTTTCATGATGGATTTACACCGCCCGGCCTTTCGACCTATGCGTCGTCCCCCCCTGTCACTTTTGCCATGCAGCCATCTCGATCCATTAGCCGTGCAATAGCCGACCATCAGGGCGGGGGAGCCTCGGTCTGTCACTGTACATGAACGACTCAAAACGATGCAGCAACAGGGAGCGCAAGGATTTCCTTCTCTTTCTTTTATTTGGATCATGAAGAAACTTGACCGGCAAAGAGACTCCTTCTCCATCACCATGCAACTACCAGTCTCCCCCCTAACAAAAAAGGTTGACGCCACTCAACTCCACGTCCACGTTCGTAGTAGTAGTTCGTATGTATCCCAGAAAGCAACACAAAACAGGGTGTGCTGTGCTCCGCTCTCTGTGTACTGTCTCCTCCTTCTGCATCGTTTTTCTTTTTTTATTCGTTGATGATTCTTGTTCGTTTATTAGGTTTCTGTGAGAGATGATACTGGCAAAAAATAGAATAAAAAAGAGGGCCTGCTCTCCCGACCGCTTGGTTTGCGCAAGATTACAGAGTGGTATTGAAACGTCGCCTCTTTTCATGCCTGCTTGTCGCTTTGCATTGTACAAAAAGCGCACAGCTCCGTAGCTGGTGGCGTAAAGACGTATCAGTCAAATGCAGATAGAGAGACAAGAGATAGAGAGATGGGCCAAACCCTGGTTCGCTGGGCACTACCCAGTCATCGGCGGCCCCCCCCCCTCCCCTCCTCTAGATTTTCCGATTTACTTTATGATTTGGGTCGATGCTAGGGGCCTTTTTCCTTCTTTGACCCTGTCCTCCTTCTAGCTCTACTAGACTAACTCACTACTACTACCCTTTCATCTTCCGCTCGTTCTCCGCCTATGCAGGTCATGACCGCCGCGCGGCGTGCTGTGCATACCGACACGAGTTCCGTGATTCCGGGCTACCTACAAGTGATCTGCCGCGGTGCCGTTTTCTTGCTTCTGCCTGCAAAACAGGCCTTCTTCTTCTTGGACCGCTTGGCACACACATCTTGGGGAGATTCGCCGCCAGACACATCACAAATCCTTCAAACCCGCCCAGATCCTCTCTTCTCTCATATGACACGCACATAGCGGCGGGCCGCAAGCCACGGCTCGACCAAGGCCAGGAAAACACCACCTCTTTGGTTCCCACGGGCATGGTTGGCCCCTGTAGGGGGACGTCTGTGTCCCGACGTGTTTTGCAACATCGTCTTCCTTGGCCCCTCCCCCCTCTCTTCGAACCAACTCGTGCTCCGCTCTGCTTTTTCTGTCATTTTTTATTTTTCAAATGCTCATCACTGGACCAAAACGATAAACGATGGCACGTAACAGTCCACAGGCCAAGACTCCCAAGACATAATCCATCCGTCTGTTATAGTCCATTGGAGCGGCATGATGATGCTCTCTCAACTCGCTCACTCTCATGTTTCTTCGGCCCCCCTCCCCTCGAACTTGTCTACCAGCAACCGTCCTGTTCAAAAAATTGTGGCTTGCCATGGATTCTATTCACCAACTCTCTGTTTCGACAGCAGCCCACTCACACGCTCCCCATCTTATTCGTAGACCCATTACCCACCCTCGCTGTCAAAGCGTAACACACGCCCATTCCGCCTTCAAGAACCCAATCTCACTACCAAATAACTTGAGCAAACTGAAAACCAATCAACACCTACCAGTAGTTCAAACTTCGTGTTTCTGTTCATCAGAATACAACGTGACCTAATACACCCCATATTCTTCCCAGACACGTGCAGTGTCGTGAGAGCATCGGCAGCCAACGCACATACACTTCAGATCGACGGGCTCCAACTAGTGTCGTTGTCGTCTGCATACCATGACTCCATGAGCAGAGGCAAGCTCCCTGCCACAGGCTGCCAAAAACCATACGCCGCTCCCTTCCCCCCCCTCTCTGCCATCTCTGATTCGCCCTGTTCGGCTGTCCTTGGGATACCATTGTTTCTATTGACCGCACTTTCGCGCTCTGCTTCATGTTGTCATCGTTTCAAGTTGTCCATCTCCTGCTCCCTGCCTCCCTCTTCTTCCTGTGAGGTGCGCCCCTCCCCACATTATCAGAGTTGTTAAAAATAATCGAGATAGCTTGGATCCCTGTCTGTCCTTGGCTGCTCCCCTATCATCTTTGTATTCGGTCCTACAACGTTAACGTTGTATCTATGCTACCTCGTTGTTCTAGTGGCGGCTGGTTGCTCGTCGGTGGGCGACGAGACCTGCCGATTCCTGCTGCACCACGTCATGTAGACGGAATATCAACCAATTAAATGAAGCTCATCGTTGTAGTGTAACTCGTTGGTATCTTGTGTTTGTATTTGAAAAAGAGGATGTGGTATCAACTGGTATAAAAGTATACTAGTATCTTGACAAAGTCAGACTGCATGCTGTTCCCACCCAACCCAATGTGTATGTACCAGCCAGAAAATCAAAGATTGTCGAACTAACTCCAGTACCCTGTCTATAATTTGTAACCCGTAGTCATGTCATAAAAAGTCTTGCTATAATTGTACCGCAGCCCCAGTGCAGTGTTTGTTGCGCCTTGTCAAAATCAAGAAAAATCAAGGCTGCGCCCCAGCACAGCACAATGCAAATCCCCCAGACCAGTTTGTTGTGTCTTTTCATGCAACCGCGTCCCCAAATAGGGAACCCCTGCCCAAATTCAAAACTCCAGTAGTAATGGTACACTTTTTTTCAGGCGATTTCTTGCGCACAGAGTTTTTGGGGGGTGGATGAGTTGCTTGGCGCGAAGCGTGCCGGAGATGGTTCCTGTGAGAGGCGGAGCGCCACCTCCGTTTGACAAGGAAATGCCGTTGGCAGGCCGTTTGCCGCCAGTCACTACTCAGCCACTCGGGCCGTCTCTTCTCATCATCTTAGTAGTATGTGAGCAGTCTCATCTGGACAGGCAGGCCTCGCTGCCCTTTGGTAGCTGGGAGTTGTAGTACACGTTGTACATTTGCCAGTCACCTTGGGCGGCGCCCTGCTGGGGCGGCGGCGGCGGCTGCTGTTGCTGTTGTTGTTGTTGCTGCTGCTGCTGCTGCATGTAAACGTTTGGGGGGACACCTTGCATGGGCATGTTGTTCATGCGAAAGTCGTCAATGGACTCGAGGCTGTTGGAGGTGGGCATCATGGAGGTAGGCACGCTCGTCGGGATGTAGCCGGAGACGTAGTCGTCGGCCGACGAGGATGGGCTAGAGACGTTGGAGCCGATGTGGGACGGGACGTTGGCGGCCCACGAGTCGACGTTGCTGCCGGACATGGCGACGTAGTGCTGGCCGTACTCGGGCAGAGAGTTGTAATCGGCCGAGGCGGCGAGGGGCGACATTCGCGGCGAGGCGACGTTGGCGCCCGAGGGCGGTGCTGTGTGAGGCTGCTCGTCGTAGGCGCCCGATGCTGAGTAGGGGGACGAGGTCATGGACATGCCCATGGACTCGCGCAGGCGGCTAAGCTCGTCCTCGAGGGCCTTGTTGCGGCGGAGCAGGTCCTGCAGGGTGCGGTCGCGGTTCTGGTGGCTGCGCAGCTCCTCGAGCTCGCGCTCCAGGCGCTCAATGTGCTCCTTGGTGCGAGCGCGGATGGCGCGCTGGGCCTCGCGGTCGTTGGCGCGCTTGCGGGCGAGCTGGGACGGCGTAAGGGTCGAGACGCTGCGAGTGCCTGGGGAGATGGCTGTTAGTCGGTGCCGACGGGGGGAAGCGGGAGTGGTGGGATCGTATGTACCCTTGCGCTTGGAGGACTTGGAGGAGGAGGGAGAGTCGTCAGAGACGGGACGTCCCATTGGTGTTGTCGAAGGCATGGTGAAGCCGTTGTGTGTGTGTGTGTGTGTGCGTGTCTGTATATGTACGGTGGTTGGCGGGAACAAGCTAGAGGCAGCTCGTAGAGCGAATATTGATGGTGGCGGCGGCGTTGGGTGTGCGACAGCAGTGGCGATAGGTTGTTGTTGCAGTGGTATCAAGTTCTAGTAGATGGTATCAAGTAAAAGATGTCAAGTTGACGAGTTCTCGAAGCTGTGGAGAAGAAGATGGTCGCAAGGGGGGGCTGGCAGTGTAGAATTGGAGTTGATCATGAACAAGATCTCGGGAGCATGGGTTGAGGGCATCGCAGTGCCTTTATAAAAAAGCTGATCCCGTCTCTCTGGGCCGGTTTGGCGGCGGGCAGAGGACGAGGACGAAGAGGGGGGAGTGTGCGTTTGGCTGCGCTCGAGGCCATGACCCCACCCCCGGGAGTGTGGCATTCACGGAGGGGTGGGGTCTAGAGGCGTGGCTCTACAGCTTGTTGCTCCATCAGGGAAGGGTGGGTCACCTGGGTGTGTGTTACCAGCCAGTGGAGCTGGAGCAGGACGGAGGAGGGGCCCATTTGGAGCATTTGGAGTCTCTGCTACCTGGAGCCACTTTTTTTCAGTTGTGAGGCAGCCGTCAACGCCAGCGGACAGGTACCTTACCTAGGGGAGCTGGAGCTGGTGCTGTTTCTGCAAAGTACCTTTCACAGCAGTGCAGTGCTGTTGCCTCTAGAGGTACTCGTACCTCAGACTAACACTACCTCCTACCTCTACTTACCTAGTGCTCCGTAGGTACCATTCATTCCCTTCCCACAGAGCAGTGCACGCCGCATTCGGAAAGCCTCGGTGCTCGAGTCCACGTTGTATGTACCATAGTATGTACCGTATGTACCTCCCTTCTCTCCCTACCTAGACCCTGCAGAAACAAGGCGCTACCCACGGCTACTGCTCTCTCACAAGTGACAGCCATCGCTCGTCTTGGTCGTTTCTTGTGCCCAGATACCAGGTACCTGAGAATAAAAGTAGGTACGGGCTCGCCGGACACTGCGCCCTGCACCAGGCTCCCAAAGGTTACATGCAGACGCACCATTGACCAGACGCTGCGCTGCGTCTCGTTTCGCAATGCAAGTCTATATTTTCTTTGGTCCTACAGAAAGTCTTGGCTCAGTAATACATTGTATCTCCTGTACCACCTTGCGGCCATTCCACCTGTCCGCCTTTCCACCTTTGCTCCTCTGCTTCCTCGGGACGATTGACAGCGCCGCCTGCTACTGGTCCCGACGGATGTGGCGGGCCAGCCCTGGACGTTGACCGAACCACTCAGCAACTCGGCAATCCCACAGCCCTTCAAACATGGGAGACGTACGCCGACGCGCATATATTCTATATCAATGGGGTATATAGCAATGGGCCGTTATAAAAACAGCCTCGACACGGTAATCAATCAATGCCGATAAAAAAACGCTATCAATACGATGCTCCGTGAGGCGCAGACAAATCGAACCTTGATCCCCACGTTCGGACGTCTTACTCCAAACATCAAACCGTCTCTCAGAGCTTGCACTAAGAGCCTCTTCTGTTTACGATGATGATTTTCTTCAACTCACGCCACCATGGCAAAGAAAGTTCACTTTTCAATCGCCACATACGCAGTTGCTGGTGAACCCGGAATTCGACCTTCCGTCGCAGCCATAATTCAACCCTCGGGCACTGGCCGACGAAGGACGCTGGCTTCATGAGCAAGCGCAACAGCGCGCGTCAGCTTATAGCGTCGCCCTGCAGTCGAATGCGCCGTCATACTGTGCTGAGACTGACCTGCATCGGCAATTCAGCTGCTGCGATTGGTAACCGGCAATCTGCATGTCGCAAAAACTCGGTTCGCTAGACTGAGCATCTCCGACTTCGCGGCCAATAGCCAGTGCGCATGGCTTGCAAGTCCAGCTCTCGTCTAGGATGGGGCTGGCGTGGCGTGTGCATCACGATGCCATCGTGTCGCCACTCTGGAAAGCGACCGAGGCTGGTCAAGCACATCTCCCCCGCCGATGTCCTCGTGGCAGTTTTGCGGAGCTTGTCCGTTTCTACAGGCCCTCTTTCTGAAAGAAGCCAATATAGCGTTCTCCCTAAGAAAAAATAGGGCTATCGATTTTAACTACCAAGCGACGGGTCAGAAAGAAAAAGGGACAAGTATTATGTGCCAAAGAGGCTAACAAAGATGGGTATTATTAACTAACTATTAGGCCACACACACCAGATGGCTCGGCCCCCTGTCGGTCGCGTGGCCAAGTACGGATACGTACGTAGTAGGATCAATATGCTCTCTTGGCGCCCTTTTTCGGCGCCGTCGACATGTTAGCCTACTGGTTTTGCTCGCTGCGCCACCCATCCTCGGTGTGGCCATGTGAGGCTAATGAGAGCAAGAGGCGGGCTGAGCAATCGCCGACGCGGCATAGAGTTTACTGAACATGAGATGAGATATCGGAGGCCGCGAGTATGGACGTGCGATGGGCCGATCGTGACGTTGCGGCCGCGACGACGGATGGAACGAGCGGAGCGGCCAAGGCGGACACAATTTTGCCTGTTCTTTCTTGTCATCTGGGACCCGAGTGAGTGGCGTGCAAACTACCCGAAAGATGGATACACCGGGACCTTTCTCAGCTGTTTGTTCCCAGACTGCATGCCCGTCCAGCGGCAATATGGGCTGGCTGCCAAGCAACTTCAAATTCCCTACCTTACGTGTGCTCAAAGTTTGTCTCATAATAGAAAGCCGACCAGCGCAGCAAACTGCAACGTCAGACCTTGCAAGTCCAGGGTTGTCTCAAGTCAGCTTCCAGGGTTGAGGTTGTTTTTCTGCATTTTCCCGCCTCCGTCAACAGTTGCGGCGATCCCACGGGTCGCTCCCCGTGTTCCGTAAAGGAAAAAAGCAAGCCAAACGAAAATCTTGGGCGGCGGCGCGGCGCCGTCCAATATGCACATACGCCCGTTCCTGCGAGGCTGCGAGCCTCGCGTGGCTTGCCGCTTCCCGATGGTTTGGGTGCCGCCACCACGGCATCCACCATCTTCATGTTCTCATGTCAAACGTCTAGTTGATTTGTGTCGGGGGCCATGATTGGCTTTGCAACAGACTAGGGGGCGAATTTTTTCCCCTTTACCTTGCGACATCGAGATGCTGCTTTCAAAGCTGTGAGTCAGCAGAGGCGACATCGGTTTTCGTTGGAAATACACTTTTCCAGTGGCAAAGTAGAAATTAACGGTCATGATGCACATTTTCGTCATGATGCACATATTCGTCATGATGCCAAGCAGGTTAAGAAAAAAAGGGCTCCTCATCTACTCCGTAAGCTGTCTCGTATGATTATTCACCGCCAGACAGGCTGGGCAAAAGAGCTTGGGGGCCAAGACTAAACAATATTGCGCGTCCCATCTCTCTTCCCGTCTTGTTCGAGGGATGGCCGGGCGCGGCGGCGGCGCCCATCTCTCCTTCGCACTCCCGGGATCAGGGTTCTAGATGGGATGCGCCGGGGCTAGCACTGAGAGCGGGCGTTGGGCGATGGCGGCGCCCAGCTGAGGCTGGCTTTTTTTCTCCCACAGCAAATGTCCCGCGTGATGGCAATTAGTGCAGGTGAAGGGCAAACGACTGGCCTTGTCCTCTCTCTCTCCTTGTCTCCCTAGGGTTGAAGCCCAAGCTTCAAGCCACCGTAACTAATCGGTTGTAGAGCATTAATGTGGTTATATAAGATAGCAGCGTAGCTAATACAGCTTATAGAGGAATAATAGAAAGTAAAGATAATAGGGAAAATTAGCCTTATATTAGATAAAGCTATAAAGAATAACTAGTTAATTTATATATCCTATTTCCTAGCCTTAGGCTATATAATTTAAGTTATAAAATAATATTATATTTTAAAATATTTAAAGTTATTATTTATTTATATTTATTATTAGTATAAATAAAATAAGCCTTTTTATTAAAATAATATTTTATATAATATACTTTTTAATTATTAAATATAAATTAATATAGAATAAAAGAAATAATTATATATAAAAAATATAATAAAAAGTAGTTATTTATATAAAAAAGTATTTTATAAAAAGAATAAAATAATATATTTATATTCTTTTTTATTTTCTATAAAAAGTATATTAATATATTATTTATAATATTATATACCTAGAATTAGTATATACTTATAGTAAGCCTATAATATTAATAAAATTAATAAAAAGTAAGTAAGAAATAAAATAATATTAAGCCTAGCTTAAAAATAATACTAGATAAAAGCTATATTATAGCTAAGGTAAGTAGTAGTAAAAAGACTACTAAAGATATATCTAAATATATTAAAACTAATAAAACTTAACTAACTAAACTTAAGGTAGTATTTACCTAAAAGAAACCTAAAACCTAGTTAACTATTATAAAAAAGCTCCTCTTCTTAGTAAATAAAGATAATAAACCTTAAATAAAAGCCTTCTTAAAATAGTTATAAGTATATATTAGCTTTAAGTTAAGACTACCTATAACTACTAAAGTAATCTAGAATATTATAAAAGAAATAATTATATAGCTAGGCTTTATATTAAAAAGAACCTATATAGATATAATATAAAGAAAAACTTAAAAAGATATTTAAGTAAAGCTAATCTTAGCTTAATATAATAAAGAACTAATTATTAGTATTAAAGACTATTAAGTTAAGGTATAGGCTATAAAACTAGTAAAGGTAATTATAATAGTAAACTAATCTCTTTAAGAGAATATTATAATAGTTACTTATTAACTTTTATTTAAAGATATAATACTCTTATTCTATTAAGATATAAAGGTATTTATAAATAATATATACTAAGTTAAGAATATATTTAGGCTAGAAATATAGTTATTTTACTATATATACTTAATAATAATAAAAGGTATACTTTTAATTAAAATACTAAATAATACTATTAACCTTATTATTATATTAATAATATTTAATTAGGCTAATATAGTTATAATTAAGGTATACTACCTTTAG